AAGAGGAAGAGAAGGTAACCTTCTCAAACTGAAAAAGAGCATCTAGCAGTGTGGGAGACCTGGGTTCGATCCCTGGGCTGGGAAGATGCTCTGGAGGAGGGCATGGCAACCTGGCAGGAGGACTCTTTCCCACGGAGCCACCTGGGCTTCCCTGAGATTATATTTAATGGTGAAATACTGAATATTTCCCCATAAGATTGGGAACAAGGCAAAAACATCCATTCTCATCAGTCTTATTCAACATGGTACTGGAAGTTCTAGCCAGTGAAATAAGGATATAAAAGGTTCAGACATGAAGAAATAAAACTGTCCCTGTTTGCAAATAATAGTACCATCTACATAGGAAGTCCCAAAGAATCTACCAAAAAAAAAAAAAAAATCTAGAATTAATAAGAGCATTCAGGAAGGTTCACAAGATACAAAATTAACATACAAAAATCAACTGTATTTCAGGCTTCCCTAGTGGTCCAGTGGTTACGAATCTGCCTGCCAATGCAACGGACACTTGTTCAATCCCTGATCCGGGAAGATCCCACATGCCACAAGGCAACTAAGCCCCTGTGTCACAACTACTGAGCTCATGTGCTGCAACTACTGAAGTCCAGGTGCCCTTGAGCCTGTACTCCACAAGAGAAGTCACTGCAATGAGAAGCCCGTGCACTGCAACTAGAGCCTAGACCCCTCTCACCGTGACTAGAGAAAGCCCTTGAGCAGCAACAAAGACCCAGCACAGCCAAAAGTAAAAATAAATAAACATTCTAAAAAATCAAGTGTATTTCTACAAACTAGCAATAAACATGCAGACAACAAAATTAAAACTATGATACCATCTACAATGCCACTTTACAAAGGACTTAGATGTGTAAGAAAACACATTAAGAGCTTATATGCTGAAAACTGCACAATGCTGATGAAAGAAATTAAAGTTCTAAATAAATGGAGAGGTGTGACATGTCTGGGTATTGGAAGACTCAAAATAATGTATTAATTCTACCCAAATTGATCTATAGATTCAATATACTCTCAGCAAGAATTTTCTCAGTTTTCTAAATTATCCTAAAATTAACATGGAAATAACAAAGAAATTAGAACAGTGACAACAGTTTTGCGCTTTTTTAAAATTATTTATTTATTTGGCTATGTTGAGTCTTAGCTGCAGTGCATGGGTTCCAGGGCGTGTGGGCTCAGCAGCTGTGGTCTTCAGACTTAGTTGCCCCATGGCATGTGGGATCTTAGTTCCTGGCCCAGGGATCGAACCCACATCCCCTGCCTTGGAAGGCAGATTTCTAACCACTAGACCACCAGGGAAGTCCCAAACAATTTTTTTTTTTTTTTTAAGAATAAAGTGGGAGGGATCAGTCTAGACAGTTTCAAGACTTAGCCTATGGCTAAACTAATCAAGATTGTGTAATATTGGTGAAGGGAAAGGTGCATAGATCAATGAAAGAAAACAGAGTACACAGAAGTAGACCCATACAAATATGCTCAACTGATTTTTAACAGAGATGCAAACATAATTCAGTAGAATAAAGGTAAATCTCCAGGAAATGGTATGGTGCAACTGGACAGCCCCAGTGGGGAAGGAACCCTCTGACCTAATTCTCATACATGATGAAAAACTTAACTCAAAGTGGACTCACAAACCTACATGGAAAACATAAACTATAAATAAAACTTCCAGAAAAAAGCATATAAGAAAATCTTTGGGATTTCAGGCTAGGTAAAGATTCCTTAAGATCTGATGTCCTAAACATCCAAAACCTTACCTATAAAACAGAAATGAACAAACTGGACTCCATCAAAATTAGAGAAAATAACAAACTGGACTTCATCAAAATTTAAACGTTTGCTCTAAAGACTCTGTTGAGAGGATGAAAAGACAAACTATACACTGGGAGAAAATAATATGCAAACCACTTATCTGACAAAGCAATAGTATCTAGAATAAAGGACTCTCAAAACTCAGTAACAATAATAAAAAAATCCCAAATAATCCAATTAGAAAATGGGCAAAACACATGAACAGACATTTCACCAAATAGGATATACTGATAGCAAATGAGCACATGAAAAGATATTCAACACCTTCAGCTATTAGAGGAATACAAATTAAAATGAGGTATCACTACACATCTATCAGGATGGCTAAAATTAAGAATAGTGACAACACCAAATCTTGGTTAGGATGCACAGAAACTGGATCACTCATACCCTGCTCATGGGAATGTAAATGATACAGTTACTCTAGTAAAAGACTGGCAGTTTCTTTAAACATTCATGGAATTTCCCTGGAGGTCCAGTGGTTAAGACTGCACATCCACTGCAGGGGACATAGATTCGATCCCTGGTCAGGGAGCTAAGATTATACATGCCATGTGGCGTGGCCATGAGAAACAAAAAAAGAAAACTAAACATGTAACTACCATATGACTCAGCAATTATACCTCTGGGCATTTATCCCAGAGAAATGAAGATTGATTTTCCCAGAAAAATCTCCGTACATGAATGTTTATAGCATCTTTATTTATAACAGCCCTAAACTGGAAAAAAACCAGATGTCCTTCAATGGATAAAAAATTAAACATAGCTGTAGTACATCCATACTATGGGACTACTAAAAAGGAATGAAATATTCACACATGCCACAATCTGTACAACTCTCCAGAAAATTTACGCTAAGTTGAAAAAGCCAATCTGAAAAGGTTACATACTGTATGATTCCATTTATACATGTCTTGAAATTACAAACGTATGGAAATGGAGCTCAGATTAGTGGTTGTTGGGGTGGTTAAGAACTGGAATGGGGGGACTTCCCTGGCATTTCAGTGGTTAAGACTCCTAACTTCCAATGTAGGGAGTTCCAGTTCCATCCCTGGTCAGGGAATGAAGATCCCACATGCTGTGCAGGCAGCCGAAAGAAAAAAGGACTGGTGTGGGGAAAGGAAAATGAAAGTGGCTATTCAAGGGCTACATGAGGCATCGTTGGCATGATGGAACTGTTTTGCATCTTGACTGTATCAATGTCAGTATTCTGGTTGTGATATTGTATTACAGTTTTACAGTACATTACCTCTGTGGAAGAACGAGGTAAAGAGCATGTGGGATCTCTTTGTATATTTATTTCTTTTCTTCCCTTTATATTATTTCTTACAACTGTATATAAACCTTTAATTATCTCAAAATAAAACATTTAATTTAAACAATGCACAAAATTAAATGACTAATGCAAAGCATGAAAAAGACTTGCCACATATGATAAGAAATTAATAACCTTAATATGTCCAAAGTGTTTAGGGGTGGAGGAGTGGGAGTTATAAACTATTGGGTGTAGACAGGCTATAAGGATGTATTGCACAACATGGGGAATAGAGCCAATATTTTGCAATAACTGTAAAAGGAGTGCAACATCTAAAAATTGTATAAAGATTTTTTAAAATCAGGGAAATTCCTGGTGATCCAGTGGTTGACTCCACACTCGCAACGAAGGGGGCACAAGGTTCCATTCATTCCTAGTTGGAGAACTAAGACCCCATGTGTCGCATTTAATATCATTATGATAATATTAAATCAAAACATGTCTAAAGCTTTTATAAATCAAACAAACTGACAAATGAGCAAAGAATACAAACAAGCGTTTCACGAAGGATAAATATAAACAGCTAATATGAATCAAAGTAATTCAGCTCATCGACAACAAAAAGCAAGAAAAACTAAAAGAATGCAAATTTTTCACACAACACACTAGCAGAGATTGTAAATTAGATGCTGCAGAATCTGCCGGGAAGTGAGAACTCTTCTTCTACTCATGGGAATAGAAAGTGACAGACCTTCTAGGAGGGCCACTTAGTAACATACATTACTGCATGTGAGTGTGCTCAGTCACCCAGTTGTGTCTGACTCTGCGACCCTACAGGCTCCTGTCCAGGGGATTTTCCCAGCAAGAATACTGGAGTGGATTGCCATTTTCTCCTCCAGGGGATCTTCCCCACCCAGGGTTCGAACCCAAGTCTCCTGCACTTGCAGGCGGATTCTTTACCACTAAACCACCAGGAAATCCCAACATGCATTGAAAATTCTTTTAAAAGTATGTATCTTTAAATATACTAATTTCAAGTCTAGACATTTATCCTAAGAAAATAATCAGGAACACATGCAGAGACTTATTCATAAGATCTTCACTGTGATATATAATTTGGATTATCCCCAGATAAAGGATTATTGGGTAAGCTACAGCCATATATTGAAATAAAGCACAGAAAGTGATGTCTAAGAAAAATAATCACAAAAATATTGTGACATAGCAAATGAAAAAAGATGGTTACAAAACTATGGCAGTATGTGACCCCAATTTTATTTGAAAAGATACATTTTTAAAAATATATATGTTTACTAAAAAGACGAAGAATTCACACAAAGTATTACGGTGGTTACCTCATAGTTGATAAATACATTGTTTTCCTTCTGCTTCTCTGCATTACCAAAATTTTCCTAGCAAAGAATTATGTATTAAATTGCTTTGGCCATTAGAAGAAACAAGCAGTACTGCTTTTTTTTGAAGGGAGCCCTGTGTGGTAAGGCAGGCAGGCAGTTCACAGCCTTAGCCTGGGAACAAGCCCAGGCACTGTAAGGCCACTGAGCCTCTGGGCAGTGGGTGGAGACAGACGATGTTGGGCAGGAGCAGCCTCCGTTCCACCTCTGAAGACACACGACTCACCTTCTGGAGTTCCTGAAGTAGCTGCTAATAAGGGTGGATAAATCTGAGTTGACCCATGACGGAGTGACATTTGGTTCATTTGTTACACTGTCCTGGTTCTTGACTCTAGTACAATTGCTTCCATGCTTCCATGTTCCTGAAAACCTTGAAACTGTTTGCACACCTGATCTGAAGCCTTTATAAAGGGTAAAAGGACATACACATCCACACAAAATTGTATACCCAGTAGAAAAGCTAGCCGCCTGCCTCAAAACAATATCTCCCACAACCCTGATCACATCCTCACCTGTAACAAGCACTTGACCCGCTCTCCAGGGGTCATAATTCCTGTGGTGAATACTCCGGATAACATCCCAGCTGCAAATATCTGGGGGTAGCTGTATTGAAAATAAAAACAAGAGGCAAGAACCTGTGACTAATCACACAGAACAGAGGAAGCCCCAGCAAAGGAAAAAAAAAATCAAATAAGTACTCGGACTGGGCGGAAAGTCCAGCACAAATAGATTGTTTCACACCAAAGCCAAGTTCTATGTATATTCTGACGTCAAATTTCCCAGGGCAGGGGTCTCAGTGCCAAGAGCAATACAAGCTTGGTCACAAGGCCCATGGGCACACTCAGATGGCCTCAGTCATGGGAGAAATTCTCCCCTGGGCAGCCATGCAGTGACTATGGATGAGTTTCCAGGCCTCTCTGAGCCTTGATCTGCAAAGTTCAGGGTGCTCGTGGGAAATAGCCCATAACCCAGGATGCAGACCTTGGTTAACCCCAGATCTCCTCCAATCTCCCCTCCTCTGGATCACCAAGAGCCTGATAACATTTTAAGCCAAGACTCACACAGGACAGCGTCAAGGCAAGGGGAATGGCTGTGGCCATATCCACAGGCCAAGTTGTGAGGTATATGCTGTAAGCTGCTGGGAATGTCCCATCAGGAATGGCACCCAGTCAGCTGTGATGGGTCCTATGGCTTCTGTGCAGGGAATAGTCCTCCAGTGGCCAGAGATCTGGATCCTCACCGTGGCCCTCACAGAATGAGCCACAGTGAGTATGTGGAGGAACTGGAGGCTCCTAGCATCACTGCCTGTGCCACTTCTGGCATCTCCTTTCCTTTCTGACATTAGATTACCAGACTGGTCTCGAAGCAATGGAGCACAGAGTTACAATGAGTGTTTGAACAGAGTCCCCACAATTGAGCACATGTTGCTGAAAAACTTCACCCGCTTGCCTGAGCCTCAGGCCCCTCCTGACCCCAGGCCTCTGGAAGCCGAGCCTTCAGGAATGTCCCACCCCACAAGGAGCCCCAAACCTGGAGAAGAGACGTCAAATGGGGATAGGGAGACATCCACTTCCCGTCCTGATGTCAAGTTTCCCAGGGCAGGGGTCTAAGGTCTTAAGAGCAGTACGAGTTTGGTCACAAGGCAGGGCAAGGCTGTTTTTCCCATGCATGCACCCCAGGCAGGCCTCACACAACTACCTCAGGCATGCAAGCCCAGCATACTAGCTGTTTGCTCAACCATCAAGAGACCTGCTTTCAGGCCTGGCCTCCTTCACAGTTTCAGTTCACACTGCTGTCTCCGAGAGGCACCCTTTCAGCAACGGAACTTCCCCTCATGAGACCAACACCTGTTCTTCCATGGATGCCCAGACCTTAGGCTGCACATGCCTCCATCCCCTGGGACTGGGGACTCTCCTCTGAACAGGGTCGCTGCATGTACACAGTGTACCACGTAGACAGCCTGCATGGGTGGTGCGTTCTGCCACCCCTCACTCCATCCCAGGGAAGCATCTGTGAGGTCTGGACCCTTGAGCTTCCATCCAAGGTCCTGGTAATGTTCCTTTCTGCACTATGCCCAAACACTACAGTGGGGAGGGGAAGGTGGCAGGGTTGACATTCAGGATTCAGAACATGGCAGGATGATGGGACAGGGATCCGAGTGTCTGAACCTTTGCCCAGGCAGGAAGAGTACTTCTCTGAGCACTGATGCGATGGTAGAGGGAATACAACTCACAGGCTGAGGCAGCAGCAGTCACCCCATGAAAGTTCTTGGGCATGGCCCTGATTCATGATACAGCTGTGAGCTAGCATATAAGCTAAAAGCCCAGGAGCTCAGAGAGGACATGTGTCCATAGGCTATTCGGACTATCACAGACAAACACATGGCCTTCCCTAGCGGCCCAGGGGCTAAGACGCCACACTCCCAAGGCAGGGGGCCCAAGTCTGATCCTTGGTCAGGAGACTAGACTCGTCACAGCCAAATAAATAAAGATATATATTAAAAAAAATAGTCAAACACAGCTTCCAAAGAACCCCGCCCCCTACACTCACATTTGGGGCCACCTGTAGCTTTTTTTTTTTTTTTTTTTTAGGATGTGGTTCCGTTTATGTGAAGTGTCCAGAACAGGTCAGTTCATAAACAGGCAAGCAGATTAGTGGCTGTCAGGGGCTGAGGAGGAGGGAGTGGGTGTGAGGCTTCTTTCTGGGGTGATGTTCTGGAACTAGGTACAGGTGGTGGTTACACAACATCGCGAATGTACTAAATACCGCTGAATTGCTCCCTTTTTGTTGTTGTTTTTAATTTGGCTGTGCCAGGTCTTAGATGTGGCATGCAGGATCTTTGGTTGAGGCAAGTGGGATCTAGTCCCCCTGACCAGGGATGGAACCCTGGCCCTCTGTAATGGGAGCCCAGAGTCTTAGTCACTGGACCACCAGGGAAGTCCCTGAATTGCTCACTTTAAAGAGGTTGATTTTATGTTACTGAATGTTACTTCAATTGTTTTTAAAGCATTTTAGGTAAAAACTGTCTCTGTGTTAGTGCTTGGTCGTATCCGACTTTTTGCAACCTCATGGACTATAGCCCACCAAGCTCCTCTGTCCATGGGATGTCCCAGGCAAGCATACTGGAGTGGGTTGCCATTTCCTTCTCCACACCTGTAGCTTTTTATAGAAGTTGGCCACATTCAGAGAGTCACAGGGACTCCAGAAATAGTTTCATGTTACGAGCATTTCTATTTACACCTCGCCCCTTACTCAGCCTGCTGCGGCCTGAAGTAGTGATCGAAATCAACCACAGGGCACCCTGGGCTTCCTCCCTTGAGCTCTAGAATCCAAGCCTGGCCAGCTACTGTGGGTCCTGTGCTGTATGCAGCCCCACCCAAGAGGTGTCATCCCAGGCTGAGTGTGCCCTGTCATCCCGGGTGTCAACTCCGAATGCCCCTGCATCCCAAGAAGCCCATTTTCATTCACTGCTTTGTCAGTTCTGAGCCCTAATTCTACCTCATCTGCCTCTCCATACCCAAATCCAACTTCTGAAAGTCTACTGGAAGGAAATACACTAATTTCTTTCACTGCAACAGAGACACCAGGAAGTAATTATAATCATGTTACGAAGATGAAGTAAGACAGAAGCTGAAACCGTCCCTTCTCCATCCAGGGGATGAGAAACAGGCTGCTGCAGCACCAGCTACCGACGTGGTGTCTGACACACATTTTAGCATCCGGACTGCCCAGCGCTGCGGGCTGGTATTACTAACATCCCCAGTAAGCAAGACTACTTCACATGAGAAATGACGACAACCTAGTAAGGGGGGTTGGGGGAGGGCTTTGGGTTTTATCTTTTCCCCTATGGTGCACAGGGCAAAGGAAACCCAAATACCTCCCTCATGTGGAGAAGAGGACAGCCATTGCCGGTCTGACAGTTCTTTTCTGTAACCTGCATCCCACCACTGGCAGAACAGCATCGAGTGCTCTGGGCCGGTAAGTAAGTACTCACCTGAGCACATCCTCTGGGTGTTTCTGTTGCAGTTTCTTCCCCAAACCAAACCCAAAGAAGCAGACGGCAAACATGGGGGTGACCCCGACGATGGGGGCGGCCATGCCCCGATATAGACCCCTGATGCCCTGCAAGGAAGCATAGAAGGGGAAGCTGTTTACAGACACTACTAACGTCTCCATCACTGAAGCAGGGAAGCAGCGCGTCCTCTGATCTGTGGCCCCCTTTCCCCAAGCAAGGAGAGCTTTAAAAGGAAGAATCTTCCCATTTATCAGAAATGGTTGTCTTCTTATATACTGCTGGAGAAACTGAAAACAGCTTCTATTCTGGAAGGCAAACTGGCAACATGTAGCTTACACCTCCATCAGAAAACTACCTGTCTGGAAACATATTCTAAGGGAATACTCAAAGATATAAAAAAGAATGACATCAGGCATTTATTAAGCACCGCATTTTGGAATATTCCCAAATAGGAGATTTATGAGACAAATTACAGAAACCTCGTATTGGACTATCACACAGCTATATAATCACATTGTAACATGAGAAGAGATTACTAAATTGGAGGAAAGAAAAAGCAGGCTACAAAACAGAATGTACAATGTGACTTGCTTGGGGGTGAGATTACAGGTGCTTAAGAAATTTTTGTATTTCCCAAGCATTAGGACCTGAGGGGAATTCCCCACTGGCCTAGTGGTTAGCATTCTAGGCTTTCACTGTTGTGGCCTGGGTTCAGTCCTGGGTTGGGGAACTGAGATTACTCAAGCCACCCAGTATGCCCCCTCCCAAAAAAGACATAAGATTCTTATTGTTAAAAACAAGAGCAAGACTGCACATCAATTTTCACTAGTACATTTAGACAATGAAACTGACTATGTAGTAGCCAATAAATAGACAGACAAATAGACATTCCAACCAAACAAGTTAGTGTAACAAGGACGAGGAAGATCTGGGACCCAGGAGACCAAGGGTTTGGCCCAAGAGAGGGGAGGGGTGTTCCCAGGAAGGTGTTGGGTACAGCAGGCCTGGGAAGAAGCTAGTCGACATGGGAGTATTGGACATAGGACTCCAGGAGGAGTTTGTTTTCTAAGAAAAACAAAGCAAACAGCAAACATTGGAACAACAGATGATAAGTGTCAGGCAGTGTGGAAAACCAAATAAAAAGGTATTCTACAGCACATTTAGGACACAAGACGACAGAGGCAGAGGCTCAAAGAGACACAAGCAAGAGAAACTGACACAATTGTTCAGGCAACCTCTAGAAAAACAAAAAGCTGTAATGAAAAGCGCACTGAAGGACGTTACTTTGTTAACAGAGAAAAAACATACATAAAGTTGCAATCATGAAAACAGTGAACTCTATTAAACCACAAACGATGATGAAAATTATTGGGCAAAGCAGAAAGAGGAGCTAAGGAATGCAAGAGTTACAACCATCTACCACAAACAGGTAGCTAAAACAGTTTTAAATGGATAAAATACATGCATGCAGCCAGGTAGAAAACAGCATTAACAACAGAGAGGTGAGGGACACCCCTGATGGTTCAGTGGTTAAGACTCTGTGAACTTTCACTGCAGGGGGCAGAGGTCCTTGGTGGGAGAAGTTCCCAAAAAGGGAGGAAGAAAAACAGTAACTGAGAAAGTAGAAAGTAGCAACTTCTAAAGGATTGGGTGGGGGGCTACTTTGTTATAAGTCCTTCAGTAACAAACTAAGTTCTTGTATCATTTTAATACAAAATAAGGGCTAATTTTTAAAAACATGTTACAGTTGCTCCCTACAGGAAATAGCAGGAGAAATGGGCAGGGGAAGGGGATGCTACACTCGGGGGAAGGTCCACAGACCTAGGCTGGAGAACCCGACTCACTGCAGACTCTGGGCACTCACAACCCATCTTCTTTCCAGAACTAAAGTGCACAACTGTACTTGTCAGCACTCCTCCCAGATCCTGCAAAGGTCTAACATTGCTACAGGCTGTAAGCAGACTCTCTAAGGGCAGAGAAAGTAAAGAGGGAAGGGTGAATAGGAAGAGAAGGTTCTGAGAAGGATCTGCAAATGCCCCTCGGGACAAAACCCTCCCAAAGCCCCTCCCACAGCTTCTCACCTGGCTGAGAAGGATGCCCAAAGCCAGAATGACTCTCAACAACTCCAGCCTTCCTTCCACTGTCTGGCCCACCCAGTTCCATGCAGTACAACCAATATCCGTCCAGTAGTACCAGAAAGTGAGCTCAATCTGGCACAGCGAAACCCAGAGACAAGCACAAATATGGACTGAGGAAGCCTCTTCGACACTGCAGGGAGTTGGGTTTATACATATAGGTTTATCGTTAGCATCTTTTTAAATTCCATATATATGAGTTGGGTTTATACAAGCCACTCTCACCAAGCCTCCAGCACCCAGCACATTGCCAATGCGCTGTATAGGTGCTCAATAACACTTGCTGACCAAGGGGCATATAATCCTGTCTCTCTGTAAGGGCAGAGAACTCTTAGCATACTGGAAGCTCAAAGCCCCTGTCTGTGTGTGTCTCTGTCTCAGGGGGACTTTAGCAGGTTTGCCTTTTTCTGACCCAGCATCCTGTGGAGTTGGGGTGGGGAGGAGTAGCTAACTCCCACTGTCCCTCCTGTAGATAAGGGGTGTGTCCTTGGACAGGAAACCACACACTGGAAGGCGGTTTCTAGATGAGAGACACCTTGTCTCTGAGTGGCTAAATGTCTGGGTGCAGCTGGCGGCAGCCTGAAAGCTGGCATGTGCCAGCTGCAGGGCTACCTGGGAAGCCACACATGCCCAGTGCTTATTGCATGGCGACATGTTTACACTCTGACTCGGGTTTTGTCCAAACATCCCAGACTGACCCCAGGACCCTTAGCAGGGGTGATTGAATGAATCCTGCTGTGCATGAGGCCCTCAGACCACAGAGTGGCCTCATGGAGCTTACTTTCCAGAAGGAGAGAAAGACAGAGCCGCACAAGGTGACTGGTGCCAGGAAGCAGGATCACAGGGACCCCTTCCGGGTTGATGAGAAAAGAAAGACAGCCTTACAGAAGAAAAGACGGCAAAATCTCAAGCATGGATGATTGGGTAGATTCCACTTCAAAATCTTCCTCCCACACCTGGGTCCTGCAGGAGCCCTGGGAACAGTTTCTCCTCCTAGACTGAGTCCATCACTTACCAGCATTCCCTCTTTGTCTGGGTGATACCTGCTTCTTACTTCTGTATATTTAATAAAGACTATATGTTTAACATTTATTCACATCAGAGTTATATTTTAGGCAATGAAGGAAAAGTTCTTAACAAGGTGTTGTTACCTATGTGCTAATGAAGTCAGTAATAAGCATCACTAGTCATTAAAAGTTCTAAAATCCCAAGTTTTCACTCTAAGAAATACCTGAAAAATGATTATACAATTCAATAACCTCACACCAATTTAGTTTCCTTGTCTATGGGTTTGAAGACCCTCTCTTTCACTCTCTTTTTCCTCAGACAAGCTGACTTTTCCTCCAAATTTTACGTGAACTTCTGACACTGATCCCTGTCAAACAGACTGAACCAGCTTTGCATTTTCTTCTATTTCATGTCTCCAATTATTCCTCATGAATTCCCTGTGGTCTAAATTTTGCCTTCTGAGAGAGAGAACCACTTTATTAGCTTCATTCATCCACATAAAACAGTAACTGTAACTCTCAAACACTCCAAAGCGATGACAACAGAAGGACATGGGATGACACGGGGGTGAGAGAGCCAGGCATATGGGCTGGACCTCCTGCAGAACCATGCAGTCCCCCAGTCCCCCAGAGAAGTAACACTCCAACCCTCTGAAAATGTGTTCCTCTGAATAAGAAAATGCCCAGCACCACGATTCCATACCTCTCTCATCAGAGTCTTCCGGAAACAGTCAAAGGTGCCAGAATACATGGGAGGCTGTCCAGGCAAACTTGGGGGCTGCGTCTGCAGTCTGACCTAAAACCAGAAGTTAAAACACAGTCATATCCCAGAAGCAGAACTGCCTGTCGGAGGCAATGACCTGACCATCTGCCAGAATCCCAACAGAGTAAGCAGCACCTGTGTGTACGTCTTCAGCATTCCCCTTATCTGCTGGGTTCAGACTTCTCTTTCCTCCAGTTTATTCCAACCTGTACTCATAAGTCATCAGTAACATGCTTTTGAAGAGTGAGACAGTCCCTCTGATTTCCTCAGCCACTTTTGCTATTTATTTCTTACCTAACGGATCCCATGGTGACCAAATGGAATAGGTATGACCAGTTTACCAATGAGGAGACTGGGTTCCCTGAGGCCCAGTGATGTGCCTCAAAATGTGATGTGCCAGTAACTAGACCTGGCTGATGCAAAGCTCAGCCCAATTCCAGGCACTCTCCACACCCATCTGAAGTGCTTTGTTGGGGGTCAGGTAACATGCTCGACAAAGATATTTTGGAATGAGGTGGATTTAATCCTGCTTTCCTTGGTCATCCTTCTCCACCTTTCGGTGGATTCAGTGCTTCCAAATGTCTCTCTTCAAATCTCCCCTCTTAGCACTCCATCATTTGTCTCCTTTTCTACTCCAGGTGTCCCACTATCTCTTTCAGAAAACACGTTCCAAGAGCTCCAGTGGCGCAATCGGTTAGCACGCAGTACTTATACAGAAAACACGTTCCAGGGCTTCAGCTTATGTTCAGTGATGACTTTTACTCGGCCATCTTCAGACCTTCTCACCTCACCTTCTGGGCTATATTTCACTGCCTGAGGAAGCTCTCCCTACTCAAATCACCTCTAAAATCTCATCCTTTCGATGCATGTCCCATTTGTCCCAGAGCCACCAGTCTACCCTGTTTCTCAGGATTTGAAACTCTAGCATCCAACTATTTCCTGTGTTTCTCCTCTTATTCATGTGGGCACCAAGGCTAATGGAAAGTTCTTTCAAGATGCTGCCAGGATCCTAATTTCTTCCTCTCTCCATCTGAAGTCTTCTTCCAGGCAAAGTGCTTGACCATTCTTACCCAATGTGGTGGTTTTCAAAAATGCCCACTAACTCTTTGATACTCCTGCTCTTCAGAAGTTAAACCCTAAATCCCCTCCCCTTGGATGTGATCCAGACTCAGTGACTCACTTCTGTCAAACAGAATGTGATGATATTGATGCTATGTGACTTCCAAGGCTAGGAGAAAGAAAGGTCAGCTTCTGCCTGTGTCCATCTCAAGTTATCTGCTTTGGGGAGTCCGTCATTATGCTATGAGGATACCTACACGGCCTGAAAAGGCCATATGTAGAGGAAACAAGGCCTCTTCTCAACAGCCAGCACTAACTGCCAGCATGTGAACGAACCACATGGAAGTCAATTCTTTAGATGAGTACAGTCCTGCCCAACATCTTTTTGTTGTTTTTGACTGGGAGGGAGGGTTTTTGGTCCAGTATTGGGTTGCTTTTTTTTTTTTTAAGCTTTATTATGATATAACTCATGCCATAACATTCACCCATTTAAAGTATACAGTTAGAGGGTTTTTAACACTTGCAGAGTTGTGGAACCTTCATTATAATCAATTTGAGAACATTTTCATCACCCCAAAAAGAAACACCACACCCATTAGTAGTCATTCTCCTCTTCTCTCAGCCACTGGCAATTACTAAGCTACCTTCTGCCTCCATGAATTTTCCTATTCTCTATATTTCATACAAATGAAATCATACAGTATGTGGTCTTTCATACCTGGTTTCTTTTACTTAGCATAAAGTGTTCAAAGTTCACCTATGTTGCAGAATGTATCAATTCTTTATTCTTTTTATTGGTAAATAATATTCTACTACACAAATAAACTATGTTCTGTTTATCTGCTCATCAGATAATGACAAATTACATTTTCTCCACTTTTATTATTATGAATAACGGTGCTACAAACTTCTGTATACAGGTTTTTGAGTGGACATATGTTTTTAGTTCTCTTGGGTGTTGTATGGGTCAAGATTCTCCAGAGAAACAGAACCAATAGGCTATGGAGAGTTATTTGTTTGTTTATTATAAGGAATTGACTCACACAATTATGGAGGCAGACAAACCGCAAGACCTGCAGTCAACAAGCTGGAGACCCAGGAAAGTCAATGAGATAGTTCTATTTCAAGTGTTAAGACCTGAGAACCAGGAGAGCTGATGGTCAAGTCCCAGTTCAAAAGTTGGCAGGCTCAAGACCCAAGAAGAGCCAACATTTCAGTTAGAGTTCAAAGGCAGGAAAAGATCAACATCCCAGCTCAATCAGTCAAGAGGGAGGAGTTTTGGCCTTTTGTTCTATTAAGGCCTTCAACTGACTAGATGAGGGTCACCCACATTAGTGAGGGCAATCTGCTTTACTTAGTCTCCCTTAAATGCTAATCTCACCCAAAAACATCCTCACAGATATACCCAGAATAACGTCTGGCAATATCTGGACATCCATGGCTCAGATGACACATAAAATTAACCACAACAGGAGAATTGCTAGGTCAGATGCTAACTCTATGTTTATGTAACCTTTTGAGGAACTGCCAGACTGTTTCCCAAAGAGGTTGCACCATTTACACTCCCACCAGCAGTTTATGAGTGTTCCAACTTCTCCACATCCTTGCCAACACTGACTGTCATCTATTTTTTAATTTTTTTTTAATTATAGCAGGTGTTGGGTGGATATTAGGTGGTATCTCACTGAGATTTTGACTTACGTTTTCATGATGGATAATGATGTTGAACATTTTTCATGTGTTTATTGGCCATTTGTGTATCTTCTTTGGAAAAATGTCTATTCAGGTTCTTTGCCCATTTTTTCCTTTCCAATTTTTTTTTTTACTGTCATAAAATATACATAAAATTTACCATCTCGATCATTTTTAAGTGCACAGTTCAGTGATATTGGGCTTCCCTTGTGGCTCAGCTGGTAAAGAGTCTGCCTGCAATGCTGGAGACCTGCCTTTGATCCCTGGGTTGGAAAGATCCCCTGGAGAAGGAAAGGCTGCCCACTCCAGTATTCTGGCCTGGAGAATTCCATGGACTGTATAATCCATAGGGTCACAAAGAGTCGGACACAACTGAGTGACTTTCACTTTCACTTTTCAGTGATGTTAAATAAATTCAAAATGCTGTGCAACCATCACCATCATCCACAATTCTTTTTATCTCTACCCACTAAACAATAACTTCCCATTCGCCCTATATCCAGACCCTGGTAACCAGTCTACTTTCTGTCTATTAAGATTTTGTGTACTTGAAGTACCTCATATAAGTAGGATCATAAAGTACATGTCTTTTTATGAATGACTTAGTTCATTGAGCCTAATGTTTTCAACATTCATCCATGTGGTTGCAAGTATCAGAATTTCCTTCTTTTTAAGGTGAACAATATTCTATTATATGTATGGGCCACATTTTGCTTATTCATTCTTCCATTTGTGGGCACCTGGGTTGCTCCCATGTTTCAACTATTGTGAATAATGCTGCTATGAACAGGGTGTACAAATATCGCTTCAAGAGTCTCCTTTCAATTCTTTTGGGTAAATATCCAGAAGTAGAATTGCTGGATCATACGGTAATTCTATTTTTACTTTTTTGAGATACTGGTATACTGTTTTCCACAGTGGCTGTAACATTCCCAACAATAGTGCACAAGGGTTCCAAAGTCTCTGCACCCTCCCTGACCTTTGTTATTTTGTTTTACTGATAGCAGTCATTCTATTGGGTATAAGGTGGTATCTCATTATACTTTTTATTTGCATTTCCCTAATGATTAGTGATATTGAACACTTCTTTCATGGTTTTTTCCAGTTATATATCCTCTTTGGAGAAATGTATATTTAAGTATTTTGCTTATTTTTCTTTTTCAGACCATGCAACAATCTTTTATTATGTATGGGTTTTTAAAATTATTTTTGCAATATCTCCATTCACAGGCAGAAAAAAATAATTGTTTAGCATACTGGAACTTGCAAACCTGATCACTGCATAGAGAAGGCAAAATTATCCCTACAGCATGCTTAACCGGGAGGCCAGTTCATCTGCCAACCTTCAAGAACATGGAGATGAATGTGATAAGACAGACTGGCCCCCATCTGAACCTTCATCCACCACCATTCGATAGCCCTTCAGGCCCAGATCAGCAGCGCGTTTCTTGCCAACAATCATCAAATGCCCATCATTTCATCGTCATCTTCTGCTGCAGAAATCTAGGATATATGTTTCTTTAGTATCACAAGAAAACGTGCTGATGCTTGAGGGGAAATGTCATGGAAAGCAAGACACTGGTCATCCTCATAAATGATTTCAGCTGGGATTTCCTTGCGAATCATCTTCTTGAAGATCATGTCGCCACCAGGCCAGGCAACCTGAGCCTTGGTGATCTCATTTGCCATCTCCGCCTCCCTCCTGTGTGGCCGGCTGGAGAAAAGGTCGGGAGGAGATTTTGCTTATTCTTAAATTGCATTGTTTTTTTGCGTTATTGACTTGTAAGAGTACTTTTATATATTCTGGATCCCAGACAACATCTGCAACTTCACAAGAAATCCTTGAGCCAGACTACCCACCTAAGCTGCTCCCCAAGTTCTATCTCACAAAGATCAAGAGAGCTAATGAATGTTCTCGTTATTGTTTTGACCGCACTGTGCAGCATGCAGGATCCCAGTTAACCAACTATGGATTGAGCTCGCACCCATGCCCCCTTGCAACATGGAGTTGCAACCACTGGACTGCCAGGGAAGTCCCTATTGTTGTTGTTTTAAACCACTAAGTTTTGGGGTAAGTTGTTACATTGCAAGATAACTGATACACCCAGTCATTATATTTCTGCAGTCTTTTTCCTGCTCTGTGTTCTACTTCCTAATCCTTCTCAGTTTGCTATCATACGAACCTTTCCAAGACACCATTTTCATCATGTTCGTCCTCTATTTATTTAGGTTGGTGCAAAAGTAATTTTGGTTTTACATTGTTGAACTTTTCCATTTGATATTGAAATACATTCTTCTTTTTTTAATTTTTTTGTTTTGGAATACATTCTTAAATGTGGTTATATTATACATCTTTAATGTACATTTGCTGCTTTATGTTTTTGCTAATGAATTGTTACTTGCTGTTTACTTTATATGTATCCTAGACTATGGAAAAGATGTTAAACAAAAAGCAAATTTGAGTGATTTTCTTATACTAGTTCAAAATGGGTCATAAAGCAGCTAAGACAAATCACAACATCAACACTGCATTTGGTTCAGGAACTGCTAACGAACACACAGTGCAGTGGTGGTTCAAGAAGCTCTGCAAAGAAGATGAGAGCCTTGAAGATGGGAGCACAGTGGCCATTGGAAGTTGACCAATGACCAACTGAGAGGATTTGAGCACTGAAGAATTGATGCTTTTGAACTGTGGTGTTGGAGAAGACTCTTGAGAGTCTCTTGGACTGCAAGGAGATCAAGCCAGTCAATCCTAAAGAAAATCAGTCCTGACTGTTCACTGGAAGGACTGGTGGTGAAGCTGAAGCTCCAATACTTTGGCCACTTGATTCGAAGAACTGACTCACTGGAAAAGACTCTGATGCTGGGAAAGATTGAAGGCAGGAGGAGAAGGGAATGATAGAGGATAAGATGGTTGGATAGCATCACCGACTCAATGGACATGAGTTTGAGCAAGCTCTAGGAGTTGGGTGTTGGACAAGGAAGCCTGCCATGCTGCAGTCCATGAGATCACAAAGAGTTGGACACGACTGAGCAACTGAACTGTACTGAACTGAATTGAGAGGATCATCAAAGCTGATCCTCTTACAACTGCATGAGAGGTTTCTCAAGAACTCAAGGTCAACCATCCTACAGTTGTTCGACATTTAAAGCAAATTGGAAAGGTGAAAAAGCTCGATAAGTGGGTGTCTCATGAGCTGATCACACACACAAAAAATCATCGTTTTGAAGTGCTGTCTTCTCTTATCCTATGCAACAACAGCAAACCATTTCTCGATTGGATGGTGACATGCGACAAAAAGTGGATAGCATACAACTGTGATGACCAGCTCAGTGGCTGGACTGAGAAGAAGTTCCAAAGCATTTCCCAAAGCCAAACTTGCACCCAAGAAAGGGTGATGGTCACTGTTTGGTCATCTGCTGCCAGTCTGATCCACTACAGCTTTCTGAATCCTCGTGAAATCATTATATATGAGAAGTGTTCTCAGAAAATCAATGAGATGCACCAAAAACTGCAATGCCTGCAGCCAGCATTGGTCAAAAGAAAGGGACCAATTCTCTGTGACAATGCCCAACTGCACATTGCACAAACAAAACTTCAAAAGTTGAATGAATAAGGCTACAAAATTTTGCCTCATCGGCCATATTCATGTGACCTCTTGCAACTGACTACCACTTCTTCAAGCAACTCAACAACTTCATGCAGGGAAAATGCTTTCACAATCAGCAGGATGCAGAAAATGCTTTTCAAGAGTTCATTGAATCTTGAAGCATAGCTTTTTTTTTTTTTTGAAGCATAGCTTTTTATGCTACAGGAATCAACAAACTTATTTCTCATTGGCAAAAATGTGTTGCTTGTAATGGTTCTTATTTTGATTAATAAAGATGTGCTTGAGCCTAGCTATAATGATTTAAAATTCAGGGTCTGAAACCACAATTACTCTTGCACAAACCTAACAAATTTTTCATTCTTGATTTTTTTAGGGCTTTTGTTAGTCCGGCGCTCTAAGCAATGGAGGTGACATGCAAAGCTGAGGAGTTTATGGAACATAACAGTAGACATGTCCAGAGGCTCCCACTGCTTTACATCCAATATCCCTTACTTGGCCTTCAGATTCTTCATGGTCAGGCACAAACTCCTCAAGTTAGTAGAGAGAGATGGACCAAAACTTCTGACTGATACCTTTTTTGTGATATTGTATAAACCCATACCTGTCTCATCATGACATCCACCATTTAGGCCCAGCAAGAACATTAAAGTCCTCCATGGCTGGTCTTCTTTTACAGCCTGGTTCCGACTGCCAAGCCTATATCCACCTTCAGTCCTGCCTCCTCTCTGCCTGGAATATCTGGGTCTCCCTACTTCTCCAGTTAGAACTCAGCCAGCCCTTCACCACCCACCATAAAGTCTTTCCACGCTGAAGAGCTCCAGCTCTTGCCTTTCCAGATCACTGTTAGTCGCCTTGGGTCTTTGAAAGTGTCTCTTGGCCAAGCTTTGACCAGAGCCCACCTGGCTCCCTAAGGTCAAAAGGACAGTAGTCAGCAATTTGTGGTTTTGGCTTAAATCAAAAGGAGACTTTCTGGTTATTAAAAATGCAGTGAGGGCTTCCCCGGTGGTTAAGAATCCACCTTGCAATGCAACAGATGCCAATTTGATCCCTGGTGAAAGAAGTTCCCACATGCCACGGAACAACATGCCTAGTGCCACAGCTACTGAGTCTGGGTGCTGCAACCAGTGAAGCATGCATGCCTGAGAATCTGTGCTCTGCAACAAGAGGAGCCTCTGCTATAAGAAGCCTGTGCACTGCAGCTAGGGAGTAGCCCCCGCTCGCTGCACCTAGAGAAACCCACACACAGCAACGAAGACTCGGCACAGTCAAAAGTAAAATTAATTCATTGATTTTTAAAAGATAAAGGCTTAAAAGAAAAGCAGTGAGCATTTTCAGTCATTTACATTTCAGGACACAGATCCCTTCCCTTCAGGACACAGGATGCTTCCCTTCCTGGGAGTGACAACTGATGGGGAGGAAGGGCAAAAAGATACGGACGGAGGTAGGAGCGACACTTGTATTAGGGAGCAATAGGATTTTGTTTTTCTTTAAAGAGAGGCCCCAGATAACTAGAACTAACGAGATCAAGAGTAGAAAGAGAGATCAGACAATTCTCCCCTACATGAGTGCTGCTTAGAACGACTACTGTTGGGGAAGCCCTAACACATATGGCATTTATCAACCACTGAATAAACATCTGATTTCATGCTTCACAGTGCCCAAACCAGCCCAATGGCTTTAATCTTAGTCTTGTAATAAAATGACCCCAGATCCTCTTCTAGATGAAAGGCAGCAAAGAGCCTGCTGCCCAGACTTGCTCAGAGAACATCACCAAAGCAATCTGCTTTGCTTTGGTGGAGGAAACCCAATTCAACAATCCAAGAAGTCCTCTACACAGGCTTCCCACTCTGCAAGATGCACGACTGCTCCCCACAGGCTCACCCTGGCCATGAACTGTCAATTTTCTCCAAGTGTGTGCAGAGATAAGGTTAGACAAGTAGGATGAAGCTTTGAATGTTAAGTCAAAGCGTATGGACTTTGGTCTCCAGTAAGGACTTGCTGAAAGTGCTACAGGGGAAAGAGTCGATGTGCAATGTGAGGATAATCAAGGAACAAGCCTTGATGAGTTTCCACCTTCCCAGAGCCTCAATCTGACCATGGCTTCCACACCAGGTTGTTGCGAGGATCAGCCTGGCCCTGGGCAAAGCTGATCACTTGATTTCCTTGGAAGGGACTCAGTCACTGAGGGCATTGTTGCTTCCCACAGGAGACCGTTGAGGTTAAGGAGGGGCTACAGACTGAAGACGGTTAAGAAAGGTGGAAAAGAGATAGTGCCGGAGCACTCTGGCTCCAGAGAAATGTGTCAAAAGACATATCTAGAGTAACCTGCTTTTAGCTCTCTTCCAGAAGAGGGATTTACAGATGACCTGTTTCAACCTTGCTGATGTTAGGGTTTGCAGAAGTTAGAACTTTGAGCAGACGTTTTTTCTTTACCATCCCCCAAGTAGGGGCGCCAGATCAGAAAAGGTTACCGGACAGAGAACTTTTTTTTAAATCAAGAGTCTTCGGTGGGCGATTAGAGGCTTCTCACTCTGCGCCGTCTAGCTCCTTGGGGCGCAGGAACAGTTTCCTCCACACCCGAAAGGGTCGAGAGGGAGATTCCCCAGACTTCTCACGGAAGCTCCCCGGGGCCCCACTTCTGTCCCGGACCGAGCGTCGCGAGAGACCCTGCTTTCCTCGCCCTGCTCGGTCGGGCCTCCTCCCTCCAGCCCGCGCGCCCCAGCCTCCTCGCACCTTGACGGTGTCCAGCGGGTGTCCCACGAACACCAGGCACATGCCTCCAAAGCCGCCGGCCAGCAGGTTCTTGAGCGGGCTAATGGGCTTCACCTCGTCTGCCATGGTCAGTCCGTCTGTCACAGTGCCTGTGGTTTCCCGGCCGGCTCTGCTCCACTGCTCCAGCCGACGCGCCGGCGCCGCCGACCTTTCACCCACTTTCGGGTGGGCGGGGCATGAGCCCGGGGCAGGTCGGGAGGAGGGCCTAGACCGCCTGCCCGGCCCCGGCTTCCGCCGGCGGCGCTGCTTCCGACCATAGCCCCTCCCAGATGGGCGCGGCTTGCGGGAGAGGGGCTGGCCCCGACGCTTTCTGGGCGGTATTTTGGAGTGGCGGTTGGGGGGTGTCGAGGGGACTTACTCCTCCAGAAATTCTTCCTGGACTCACCTGTTTCCTCCCTTAAGTTCCCGTTCCCCTACCCACTCCGCTGAAGGCGACTGCGCTCTGCTGTGTGACAAAGCACCCTTTCAGGTGCTGGAGGCACGGCACACGGGTCCTTGTTCTTGTGGAGCTTCCAGACAGTAGCAAAGTTAGTGAAAAATGCATAGTGTATCAAGTAGTGAGAACTGCTATGAAGAAAAATAAATCTGGAAAGAGGATAAGGATTAATATGGGGGGGGGGGCAAGTAACCTGCAGTTTTAATTAGGTGAGTAAAGGACAGTTTCACGGAGAAGGTGACTGGACTCAAGCCCTGAGAAGTTGAGGAGGTGAGTTCTGTTCATAGATACAGGGGGGACCGGAGTGGGGGGAGTGAGGGGTCTTCCAGGCAGAAGACTGCAAAGCCCCTGAGATGGGCTGTGTCTGGACTGTTTGAGGGACCACCGAGGCCGACATGCTGTCAATGGTGACGCACCAAGCGGGGTTTTTTGTGCCACTGTAAGGACATCAGCCTCTCCTTTGAAGGGGGGAGCCATTCTAGGGTTCTGAGCGGAGGAGGGACACAGTCTGACCTGTGAGTTAACAGAATCCCTCTTACTGCCAGTTGAGGATAGACTAAGCAGCAGGGAGACTTGAGGAGGCTAAACGTCACAGTCAGAGATGCTGGACTGGATTGGATCAGAGCACAGCAGAGGAGGTGGTAAGATGTGTTTGGATTCTGAATATATTCTGAAGGAAGAACCAAAAGGAATTGTTAATGAATACAACAATTAGGAGTAGGGAGGCCTGGCGTGCTGCGGTTCATGGGGTTGCAAAGAGTCGGACACGACTGAGCAACTGAACTGAACTGAGGTTGCTCAGTTGTGTCCAACTCTTTGCGACCCCATGGACTGTAGCCTACCACGCTCCTCCGTCCATGGGATTTTCCAGGCAAGAGTACTGGAAAGGGTTGCCATAAGGGTGATGCTTATGTTTTTGACTTATTGACTCTTGGTGGATGGTATTCAGGTATCCACTATATAACCTGTCATTTCTGTATGTTTAAAATTTGTCAAATTAAAAATTTGTAAACAATAAGCATACCCCTACTCTGTAACAGGAACCTCACTGCCCAGCTAACTTGATAGCAATCCTCCCCTGCAGGCATTCTTACGCTAGGAGGAAGCCTAGAATGGGGAGGATGGACCATGTACACTAGGGGTGGGAAGATTAGTGACAGGAACAAAATTGGGATCAGGAAGTGATGGGGCCTGACTGGGGCAGAAGACCTGTAATGGGAGTGGAAGGCAAGGAGGCGGGGGCAAGGCTCAAAAGTCTATTTACCCTGTGCTATGGGCTTTCTCTAGGTGGGGATGGGGAACCATAGAACAGTTTTAAGCACAGCTGTGACATGATCAGATTTGTTTCAGAAAATCTATTTGGTATCAATGAATTTGTGTTGGGAGAGAATGGAAGCAGGGAGAACAGTTAAGAATTATATTGGTCCAGGCAAGAGGCAGTGAAGGCATTAATTGAACAGGGTGCTCATCACTGGATTGGCCTTATTGGAATGTCCAAGATTCAGGGTTTGGTAATGGGACCATGTTTATTTCACTTGGGACTTCTAACACTGGCTGCAGAAGAGGAGCTAACTTAGAGTCAATCTGCATCAGAGCAGCTTCAGGAAGAGGTGCTGTTTGTTATAGAACAGCCCTCTTGATAAACTCTCCTGGTAGACCCTCTTGGTAAACCTTGACAGACCTGAACATGGACTCCACTCAAGCCCACAAAGTTCTATTAAATCCTCATAGGGTAACTAACTGATGATCCCCCAAACAAATGGTCTTCCTGTTTCCTCATCTGATAAGCCTTTACACACTGCTAGAAAACTTACCTGAAATTTAATCTGTCATTCCCTGGCCAAAAAACCTCCTCAGCTCCTCACTGCATCAGAATAAAATAGAAGTGGTTCAGAGCAGACAAGGCTTTTCATATTTCATGCTAGCTTACTGCTTCAACCGTGTTTTTCCCTAGACTGTATCTTCCTCTCTGAGCAAACTTAGCTTCTACTGGTTTACCACACAACCCTGTTACTTAACTGACCCCACCCTCCACCCCACAATGGCCAGGCCTTTACATTTCCTGTCCCCTTCAGCACAAGGTATCCTTCCTCTCCCCACTCCAGGTAACATATTGATGCAGTAGATTGATACCAAGTTGCCCATATGCTAGACATTGTCCAACCAGTGGTTCTTAGCCATCTGGGAGGTGGAGAATTCCTGGCACCCTCTCCCCAGAAAAATGTACACCTCCAGGTTTGCTATCAATTCCACAAGCTTCATGTCGGGTGGCATCACTGACTTGATGTACATGTGCCTGAGCAAGCTCCGGGAGTTGGTGATAGACAGGGAAGCCTGGCGTGCTGCAGTCCATGGGGTCGCAAAGAGTCGGACACGACTGAGTGACTGAACTGAACTGAACCACAAGCTTTATAAGGAATGTGAAGCTATCTTTGTGAGGCAAGAGGGCCCCACCCAGGGTAGATATTGCAAGATGAAAATAGGAGGACAATTGAGGGAGGAGGCTGGGCTCTGCCCAAAGAGGAGAGACCACTCATTTCTCCTTTTTGAAATGAGAAAAGTCAGACCTCCCTGACTATACATGCACAGAAAGGCTCCTTGGAGGTCGAAAGGGGGAGTGATGTTAGGTGATGCTAACTACCTCTTTACCTCTAAAGTAGAATCTGCCTTGGCTGAGAGATGTGTGCACACACATAGGAGGATCCTAAGATACACCAATTATGGACTCTGAGCCAGGGAAATAAAAATGGTTGGCCAAAGGAAACCCAGAAAAAAATGCTCCATATAAGTGATCATACTACCATGAGGGCATGACTCTGGGACTCTGAGTCCACCCATGTGTCTATCCATACGTACTCTTTTTTTCCTCCTAATAAACACTTGACTTGTTTCACTACTTTCCATCTTTGTGGAAGTTCTTTTTCTGCAAAGTCGAAGAGCCAGGGCCCTGACACTGACCACTAGTCTGGCAGCTAGGATTTGGTGCTCTCACTGCCTCTCCTCAACCTCAATGTCTGGCCAGGGAACGAGGCCCAACTTCATGTGGCTGCAGGCTGAGGCCATCTGAGATCACTTGGACCTCGCTTGAGAAGCCTTCTTCCTAGACCTTGGGAATCAAACATGAATGAGGGGGACGTTCCCTTAGGTCACACCCTTCCCAAGACCGTCCACATCCTGTGACTGAGCAAGGTAGAGATTTAATGCCTGACCACTTTGGCATGGTATCAGATACTCTGACAGGTAGTATTCACACTCCAGTGCCCTCTGCTGGGTTGGCTTCACTGGGCCTGCATCACAGTTTAACTGCCGCCTCTGCCTAATTCTGCTTCCAGCCCCCTCCCTTTACATACGCTGGTCCCTAATAAGTATCTTGCTCCCCAAGCTCCATCTGGTACTTGCTTCCAAAGAGTCCAACCTGCAACAGTAGTATTCAACATCATTCCTTACCAAAAACAAGATAAAACCAAAAGGAAAAGAACATAAAACTGTAAATTTAAGATTTGAAGCAAACTCCCTTGTGATAGATAAAGAGTAACTACTTTTTTTTTAAAGCAAACTATTAACTACCATATTTTTTTCTCAGCAAAACAATTTAATGGTGAACCATTAGAAGGTATCCTATTAATGATAGGAAAACAAGTAGAGATTTTTTTAATCATGATTACTGCTTAACGTTTTACTGGACTTAGCAGCTAATCCAAAAATAGCAATAGGGAGGAAGGGAAAGAAATAGCAAACTAAGGAAGAAGTGAAAGAAAGTGAAAGTTGCTCAGTTGTGTCTTGACTCTTTGTGACCCCCATGGACTATACAGTTCAGGGAATTCTTCAGCCCAGAGTGCTGGAGTGAGTAACCTTTCCCTTCTCCAGGGGATATTCCCAACCCAGGGATCGAACCCATGTCTCCCGCACTGCAGGCATTTTATTAGCTGAGCCACCAGGAAAGCCCGTAGGGAAGAAAGAAAGAAGAGTGTGGGGGGAAAAGAGGGAGAAAAGAAAAGGAAAGAAATTTAAATATTAAAAAGTAAGAGTCCTTGGAACTTCCCTGGCAGTCCAGTGGTTAAGACTGTTTTTCCACAGCAGGGGGTGTGGGTTTGATCTCTGATCAAACCAAAAAAAACCCCCAAAACTAAGAGTCCAAAATATTCCTATTTTCAAGTGATCCAAATGCTTACTTTGAAAATTCAAGAGAATCAGTTGAAAACTAATAAGCAAATTTAAGTAAGGAGACAGATACAAGAACAGTATCAGAAAGCAATCACTTTTTGATCAGTTCAGTTCAGTTCAGTCGCTCAGTTATGTCAGAATCTTTGCAGCCCCATGAACTGCAGCACACCAGGCCTTCCTGTCCATTACCAACTCCCGGAGTCCACCCAAACCCATGTCCATTGAGTCGGTGATGCCATCCAACCATCTCATCCTCTGTCATCCCCCTCTCCTCCTGCCCTCAATCTTTCCCAGCATCAGAGTCTTTTCAAATGAGTCAGCTCTCTGCATCAGGTGGCCAGAGTATTGGAGTTTCAGCTTTAACATCAGTTCTACCAATGAACACCCAGGACTGATCTCCTTTAGGATGGATTGGTTGGATCTTCTTGCAGTCCAAGGGACTCTCAAGAGTCTTCTCCAACACCAC